AACATCAAGCACAGAGCCTATTAAAGATACAACACAGCCGCTTAACAGTCAGTCAGCACGGAGCTGTGGTGGCGATCGAACAGTTACAGTTGAAGTGAGGGATTGCCCTGCAGTGAAAACCCAAACCAGTTAGAAAGAATACTAGTTCATAAACTAGTATGTGCCTACCAGTTCGACATTTTCGAAGAACTTAAGCGTTCAGCGATATCTGCCTTTGAATTGCCAAAGCCTAAAATAAAACGCAATTAATTGCTTTTCTTACAAATGTCGGCTGTGGCGTCACGTGAAGACTTCTGGTTCTGGGATCGCAGGTTCCAGGCCGCTTGGAGGTGGTTAAGATTTTTAAAGTTAGATCAATGTAAGTAGGAATAATTATTTCAATTTATATATAAATAACAAACTTAAAAATCTAGTTGCATTAAAAAAAAAAAAAGAAACAAATATATGGGAAGAAATACTTGTGCCATAAAAAATAGAGTAAAACAAAATATTTTTTTTTCTAATTAAATTTAAGAAAAACAAAAGAACCCCAAATAAAAAATATAAATAAAGGAAATATTATAAAAAAAATAAAAAATAAAAAAAAATTCCCTGCGCCCGGGCTTGAACCTGGTACCTCAGGCATACCACGCGAGTGCTTTGCTCTGTAGGTCATTGCGACTGTTGGAGCGCCGCGAGCAAAAAGGCATACTAATGCTTTTCATAGGGAATGAATTGGCAGACTATCTCATCAACTGGTATGATGCTACTAGTATATCTACTAGTAGATGCTGATGCATAGCCTGACAATTGACATCTCGTAGGACATCGCAATGTTAAAAATACCAGTCGCTAACATTGAAAAAGGATAGAATTTGAACTAGTTGGACTGAAACGCAAACTGGTAGAATTCTAGTTCACAACTAGTAGCTTTCCCTGGAGGGTGCTTGTGAGTGGCCCAAAAACCACAAGACATCACCACTCAGGGGTAAAGAACCATATTTCTTAGTGAGAGCTACAGCTAAATGGAGGGATTGCTTGTGAGTGGCCCAAACACCACGCTATTCTCCGGTGTCATCAGAGCGATATTCACGAACGCGATTCGAGCGCTACTCTCCGGCGTCATCAGAGCGCTACTCATCGGCGCGACTCGAGTGTTACTCAACGACGTTAGCTGAGCACCTCTCATCGGCGCGACCAAGAGCGCCACTGGCCATCGACGTCAGGGCGCTACTGTCCGAGATTGCAAGAACGCCACATACCGGCGTCACCAGAACGCTACTCACCGAAGTTGTTAGAGCGCCACTCACTGGAACGGCCAGAGCGCAACTTACCTACATTGCAAGAGCGCTACATATCGACGCGGTCAGAGCACCACTTATAGACGTTAGCAGCGCGCCACTCAGCGGCCCGTTACCCAGCCACTGCATGACGCTACCCAATATTTCCAATTGTTATTTTATTATATGTTTGATAGTAAGAGAATAATCTAATAAAGTACGACTTACCGGAGCCCCGAAATTACAAATTTATTGTAACGAGCCCTGGACACGGCGAGTATACCCCAGCATTGTAGAAGACGCATCGGGGCAACCTAAACGCTTCGTTACAATTGGCGCCCAAGCAGGGACACTTGGCAAATCGTACACGTGTAAAGGAAATTTTTTTTGGAACAAACAAGGCGAATAAAATGGCGGAGCCAGTCAACACAACGTGGCTGGATGATATACCCAAGGAGCAACTAGTGTCCACTGCACAGGAATTGGGGATCGAATGCGCGGGTACCACCCGAAAAATACGCAAGCGTATAACGGCTCTGGCGGCCAAGGCGCACACCGACCCCGAGATTCATGCCAAATTGCAGGCGATGGAAATCACCAACAGAGACAGTGAGTCTGCCTCGGAAAACGAGGATGAAGAGAAGACACCAGTACCACCGGATGAACGTGGGGGAAGTACGACTACCTTCATGGAAAACTCGACGCAGAGCCAGTTGGCGGTACCGCTACAGCAGCTCCAGCCACACTCATATTTCAAAATGGTTCTCTTTTCATAAAGCAATCGCATTTCTGGATAGTATATTTCAGGACGAATGGATAAGGATTAAGCCAACAGCTTCTGTAAGCAAATCCAATTTTCGGCAGCAAATGTCAGTTACGCGATTTTGCAGAATGACGATACGCGGTTTTGTACTTTTTACGACGATATGCATGTATGTATATGTGTATAGCCAGCAAAAACTTCGGAAAGAGATGCGAAAATTGAAATAAAGGTGAATAGTCAGCCACGAGGGGTTGTGAAACGAATAATTTTCCGGTTGGTTTTCTGAAATTTTTCATTCTGAACTTCACATTTGCTTTTTCATAGTTAAATATACTCAGAAATTAATTATACTTTTATAAATACTTTTTAATATGTTCTCCTGCCGGCATAAGAACCTGGGACCTCATGAAAGCTTACAAATAGTCGCACGCTTCTCTGCACACTCAGCTACTGTCGAATACGTATATGTACATGTTTTCAAATGTTCAGTTTAAGCAAATATTTTAAAATTATTGTTTTCAAATAACGTGATATTTTTCGGTAGTTTTCGGATACGAATATTTTATTAAATCTTAAAATTTTACCAAAAAAAAAAATACCAAGATTCACAAGGACGCCTTCTTGTGGCAAATGAAAAACAACCCTGGCGGCCAAATCGTGTGAACGCAATGCTGCTACATAAGCCAAATAAAAATTACGCAAATGACCAAATATCTGATTTGCCACTTGATGACAAATGCCAGTGACAAATATACAAATATTGTTGAGCGGTATTGCCATTTCGTGCTTGTGAATTTTCCAAATTTGGTAAAATTTTATCACTACATATTATAAAACAAAGTCACTTTTTCTGTCCCTATGTCCCCTTAAATGCTTAAATCTTGAAAACTAAGCAACGGATTTTGATGCGGTTTTTTTTAATAGATATATTGGTTGTAGAGGAAGGTTTATGTCATTATAATGTGAAGAAATATATAAAGGGGGCGTGGCAATCGGACAAAATGTGGTAAAAACCCATAAATTTTTTGTTTACACAGCCATAAATCATAAAAGAATCCACCGATTAAAATGAAACTTACTTGAAGTTAAACTTTGAAATATTTACTTTCGTTCTGCATCAAAAAAAATAGTTGATTCATATCTTATTTAACCAAAATTGTTTAAACAAAAGCAGCACTTTTTCCAAAAAAAGCTGTTTGTGTGTTTGTTCGCTGTCAACCGAATGAAACATTAGAAGTTATGCGGGAATCTCACCCCACCTCATTCATGTTGAATTAGATCGTATGGTGAAAGAACTCGGTACGTAAGTATGTAATACATATGTACGAATCTCTGGCATAATTAAATTTCGGACGTATGTATGTATGTATGTATGTATTTTCAATTCATGTCTTTATTGCCGTACTGAATTCCATTGCATTGAGGGTTTTTATACAGAAAACCCAAATTTGAAAAATTTTTAGTTGTGAGTGTTTTTTCAGCGAAATAAACCGCTCTGTTCACGTTCTATATTAATAAATCGCACATAATTAAAATACAGTTTTTGAATAGTTTTTATTGATTCGGAGCGCGCGTTAGATATTCCAAAGATAGCAGGAAATCTTCATGGTATAAAGAAAGGGGAATTGTTTTACTCCAAATGTAACGCGTGCGGGCCACGGGCAGTAATGAATAAATCAAAACTACGGGATCGATTTTAATCATTTTTTCAGTGAGTGACATAGGCCTTATATTTTATTTCCGTGCTCAAAAAAGTGGCAGATCTACAACTATGTGGTAGAAGTCCGATCACTGAAAGGAATCTTACAGAGTATATGCAAAATTTTAATTTTTAACATTTTTTCATTTTAAATTACGACGTGTCCTACTATTTTGTTTACTAGTATACATACAAAGGGTGCCCATTCTCAAGACAAATTAACCATTTATAAATGGTTGTAAACAACGAAATGTTTTCTCTTAACCCTTTCACTACCGCCAGCTAGTGCGTAATACAAATTTATTTCTAAGCAGTAGTAATTATTATAATGAGCTCTGGTAAGGCTTTTGTAAAAACAAAAATCGCCTACCTATATGGGCGTGGCTTAAATAAGATGTCCACCTGACTGGACATGAGTAGTGAAGGTAGTCAAGTTTAAATGCACCGAGTTTAACAAAATTTTTAAAAGAGATGAGAAATAATAGAAGTTTTTAATTAAATTCAGTGTTTATTAGAGAGTAAATTACCATAAATAACAGTTTATAAGTTCAATATTTTATTTGTAGTTAATTGTTTTGTATGATATTCATAAAAACAGTCAGAATTTCTCCGAATGCAGAGATGGGCGTTGCATTTTGCGCAGCAAATGTAAGTTTTTTGCTTGCATCCCTCCTTCTTGCAGCGAACTGCATTATTTTGTAAATAATCAAACTTCGGTAAGTGACCGACTTGATCATAACGCGTGTCAGTTGGTGGTTGGTTGAAGTACTTCAATCTTTTAGGAGCTTGCTGCTCATCTTCGCTAAAGGTGTTTGAGGAACGACCCCGTCGGTTTTCATTTTGAAATGTTGAAGAAATTGTTTCAAGAGTATTAGCCAATCCTTTTCTAAAGACAAGTAAGTCCATTTGGTCTTTCTTAGGTATATCATTTCTATCTGCATCCGCTTTATACTCGAACCAACTCGCCACTATTGCCATGTCAAAGAAATGCTTAATAACTCGTAGGGTCCTTTTTAGATTTTATGAAAATACGGTAATACTGCACCATATGATCAAGAAGATCTACGCCACCCATTCCATTATTATACAGCTGCACAACTTCAGGTCTATCAATCTCAAAATACCGCTTTTCTTTTTTCTCGTATCGTTCTACTTTGTCTTTGATGCCAATTCCCACAAAGTTGGATGCTAAGTAAACTCCTTTGTTGTCGAACCATTTTGTGACAATAACTTTTCCATCTCGGCTCACCACTTGTTCAGCACAGCCGCGACCTTTCTTTCATATTACAGCATCTGTGGAGAGAGGTGGGTTCCGAAAGCGATTTATACGAATTGTGCCAGCTGCTAGAATTTTCCTTTTCTCCAAAATTTCAAGTAGAGAATACGTGGTGAAGAAATTATCTATGTAAACTTGGTGACCAGTTGAATCTTGGGGCACTCTTTTTAGCAGCTGTAATGGGATGGAAGCACCAAAACCATGTTTGTTGATAAGGCTTGGTTCAATTTCAGTGGATGAGCCCTGATAAGCAATGAAATCATACAGCATTCCACTTTTTCCACAAAGCACATAGAGTTTTATTCCCCATGGACAAGGTTTACCACGTATATACTGCTTCATTCCCATGCGCCCTGTAAATGGTATAATCTGTTTGTCAACGCAAAGGGTTTCCTCCAACTGGTGCTCCAATAATCGCTTTCGAATCGCATCCATAATTGTCATTGTTTTTTGGGGGCAGATAAGTATCCACTAAATGCAAATGTGTTCGTAGCGCATAAAAACGATTTACCTTTCTCCCAGAACATTGCTACCCGTGGAAACTTCAATATACCCATCATAAAATGTAAAGCGAAGAATTGCCGAATTTCTCTTGGACTAGTGGGCCGAAAATTTGATTCTTTCTGCACACTATACATATTAGTGAAATTGGAAACATCTTCAAAAAATTGGGGCGGTAAATATTTTTGAAAATATTCGTATTCACTTTTGACTGCTGTAGGCAACTGTACAGGCGGAACAAACAAAAAATCAGCAATTCGTTCATTACTGCGGGAATGGCGCCACTGAACATCGATTTTCTCAGTAATATTTGCCAAATCATAGTTTCCTTCTGCTGCTTCTATTAGCGTACTTACTCTCTCACCTGCTATTGAACGCAATACTCTGACGGAGAAATATGAATTTTGTGCAACATTTTCTTCGCTCTTTGTTGATGACGGTGTTGAAAAAGTCGTAACGTGTGCACGAACAGCTGGTGGAAGTTCATTTATTGGACTCAAATCACGTTCCTCCACATTTTCCTCAGTGCTGGTGTCGTAATTTTGAGCCTCCCTCATCTTCAATTCGCTTCTTACTAGTAAATCCCACTGAATCGATTTCATCACCTCCCGATTCATCGTCGAGATCTGAAAACTCTTTCAGAAGGTCTAACATTTGGGTTTCAGTCAACGCTTTGCGTCTATGCATGATTCCCGATGCGTGGAAAGCAATGTTATTTACTCATAATTTACAACTCTTTACTAGTCATGTCCACTACAAAGGACATCTGGTTTTTACCTGAAATTCGATCTACTTCTGCTTACACTCGTTCAATGAGCAAAAATTAAGCGAAAAAGCACCGTTTACACAAATATTTACAAACACTTATTTAGGATTTAAAATTTTCGAATAAACAAGCCAAATAATCACTCTCATTGCGAGAGTCGTGTCGAATGCAAGTCGTTTTTCGAGAGTCAAATCGCTGATCCGGTGTCAACCGTACTTTTGCATTTATGATTTCGCGAGATTTGAAGTGAAATGAACAAAAATAATATATACGCACAGGTACTCAGAATTTTGAATACACCCTCAAAAACTGGGCTGAAGGTAAAAAACGCGTTTTTCATAGGTTGAAGCATATACTTGCTCGTAACTGTATTTCTGTTTGCCCGATGAAAAATACTTACATATCCAATTTAAGAGAAATCATTTCGTTGTTTACAACCATATATAAATGGTTAATTTGTCTTGAGAAATGGTGGAGCAATATTACAGACTATTTATTCGAAAAGTTTTAATTTTTTTATTTTAAATGACGTCTTGTCCGGCTATTTTGTTCCCTAATATATAAATATATATGTATATGCAGACCCCATCAAACCATCAATAAAATTTATCCCGTAATGTGATATCGGAGTGCAATGGGGTATAGTCGTTGCGCATGGCTATACTCAATCGCGACTCTTGCGTCCTCGTTCGCGCACTCTGGGCAACGTGAGCAACCCATGTGCGAGATGCGGTAACCAATCCGAGTGGAGCCTTGGGTCACGGCAGAAAGAGAGGGAGCTTCGGTGGGGCCACTCCGACTTATTCGGTTTAAGGGATCGCTGAAGTCTGCAGCGTCTGTTCACCAGTAGGTGCGGCTGCAAGCGGGTGTCTGCTTGGAGCAAGCGGCTCGCTATATAAACGTGTATTTGGTTGCGAAACCACCCCCGTCCCAGCAATGGGTTGTGCGCTGGGCTTGGGACCCGCCACGTAAAAACCACTTCCAGTGAAGAAGCAAGGCAAAGCCTCG